ATGTGAATGGCATTGTCCACAAAGAGTTCGTTCCGCCAGGACAAACAGTGAACCAACATTTTTACCTGGATGTGTTACGAAGATTACGAGAGAGAGTGCGACGAAAACGGTCCGAAATGTGGAGAAATGGGAACTGGTTGCTTCACCACGACAATGCTCCAGCCCACACAGCTTTGACGGTCCGACAGTTTTTGACAAGCAACAACATGGTGATTGTGCCTCATCCACCTTACTCACCCGACCTGGCTCCGCCGGACTTTTTTTTCTTTCCACGGATGAAGAGAAGTCTGAAAGGAAAGCGATTCCGTGATGTGGATGAAGTCAGAGAAAACACGCTAAAGGCTTTGAACAGTATCCAGCCTCAAGAATTCCAGCACTGTTTTGAGCAGTGGCAAAAGCGTTGGGACAAGTGCATTAATGCACATGGACAATACTTTGAAGGGGACTAATATACAGTTCAATTAAAATGCAAAAATAAAAAATAACAAAAATAAATTCCGGTTATTTTTGGGTTCCCCCTCGTAAATTGCACTGTGTGTACCTTGTTTACTGTATTTTTTGTTTTGTATTGTTCCCTTATGTTATAGACTTTCCTTGTCTGTATCAGTGTAAGTTCTACTGCCACCGGGTGAACACCCACTGCAGTAAAATAATAATAATAATAGTAATAATAATAACAACAACAACATACATACATACATACATACATAAGGAGTGGGACTAACTGCTGATGCTTGCACCATGACCGTTAATGATCTGTTGTGCATACTTCTCCATTTTAACCCTTCAGCAATCCTACACTTTTGAATGAAGTGCAGGATTCTGCTTATATGAGGGTCATGATAGTCATCCGGTTCCATAAAATAGTGGCCCAGGTAATGAAACCTTAAATAAGTATTGCCTCAAGCTTGCATAGGATATGTGTGGCTTGTTTCATTTTTTTCCAGATACCATTCACAAATAGGACTGTCAGCCCCATTTTGAAAAGTGTCCTTTTAGGTGACAGTGCCCTATAAGTAGACCTGTCACCACCACAACTGGTTTCTGTTTAATTTAAGTTCCTTAATTCTTCTGACAGAGGGTCCTTGTATGAGTCCCTTTGCCTGTTTGAGTCCTGTTAGGGACTCCCAGTATTTTTTATGGTCTCTGTCCATTCCCCAACAGCTTTCTTGGCAACTCCTACTGAGATAACTGCAAGTTGATTCAGTTCCTATGAATGGACATTCAGATCCACATTTTGCCAGTTTAATAATTTGTTACGTATCATGGAAGTTTTCACACAGAATCTTTTCTAGTTCCTAAAACTATATTTCTTTGCTCCCTTCCCATTATATCTGCATTGGTACTTAAAATTCAAGTTTTTTCACAAACAGAATATAAGTCCCCTTGAGTTCATGCATGTCCCATAGTATGCTGAGTTTTCTTCTAAGGAAATCTTTTTCCCTTTCAGTTACCTTGCTGTGGTGCCATATCAGACACACATTTAAATAAGGCAAACTTAATTAACAGACTGTGATTTCCTCTGGATTTTCTCCATGCACGCTACAAGCGCTGTCTTTGACTTCATGCCTGGTCACCAAAACCTTTGGGGCACTGAAATATTAATGAATTTGTTCAGCAGTTATCAAAATATTATTACCACTGTGTTTTGTTTTCTGATGGGGTGCTATATTCCTTGCAGCGGTATTGACATGAACGAGCAGCCTCCTTCAGGGGGAAGCAGTCAGAGGAGTACTCCAAACGGGGAGAAGATGCCTTGCAAACTAGGCAGAGAGGTTTGTGGCTAAGACTTTATTGTAAATGGCACATGCAGTACAACCGAATTATTAATATTATCAAGGGACCTGTCTGTACTGCTAAGAGTTACCTTTAAATCTTACCAGAAAGTAAATGTTAAATATACATGGATCAGTGGTTCTTAACCTTTTGATGTTTAAAGACAAATTATGGATATCGGCTGGAGTTAGACTAGAGAACTGAAATTTGTAATAAAAGTACACTTCTTATTGATGTAATATATTTTATAGAAATAAACACAAATGTTATGAGGTTTGTTCCAAGTGTTCAGTGATTATGCAAATGCATATTTTGTTACTCGTTCTTATCTTCAAAGCCTCATCACACTTGCCGAAGCCTGTGACATAGCTGTTGAGAACTGCTGATACAGATGAGACAGATGTTGACAGGAGCTATTTTCTATCGCATAGCTCAAAGGAGTGACCAGAATCCCGTATCCCCCCCCCCTTGGGGCATCTGTGCTGTTACTTCCTTGTTTATGTAATCCCATCATTCCCATTTACCATGTGCTTTCCCCTTCCTCTAGTTGTTTAGGAAGTAAACATTTCTTTGAGGTATTGAGGCTGGGAATGGAGTCTTTCTTTTGCCAGCAGTCAGTAAGGTTGGTGAAATTCTGTTTAGGTTGCACATTAAAAATTGTTTGATTCTTGTTCTGGCCACTGAGAGTGAGGGACTGATTCATTGCAACACGTGTGTTAGGAGTGTTGCAACAGAGTTTCTGTTGGGGTCTTGAATTATTAAGGGTTTGGCTTGTGTTGCATAATTTTGTCTGTCTGTGTTTGAAAAACATATATATATGATATTATATTTTTATATTTTATTTATTTAGTTATGTTAAACCATCACCACAACAAATGTATACTTGCTTTTAATGTTTACAGTTAAACCTTCATTTTGCTACATCTTTCCATAACACAGAACCATCATCAGGCAGTTAATATGGAGTATGTCTAGTCATTGAATTTAGTAATATGGATCCATGATTGAAAAACATAATGAGGTTTTTTTCCCCCCCGGCATGTGTTTGTACATGTTTAGGCTTCCATTGCCCTATTTGTGTTTCTGTTGTAATAATGGGCCAGTGTTCTGGGTGGTGAAGCATGTGCTTTTCTGGATTTTCTGACTGCACCAACCTAGCCGGTCGAGGATACAATTTGGCAAAAGTTTTTAATATTTGCAAATGTTGCAGATTGTCAGAATATTATGCTATTATTATTGTTGTGGTACAAAGCTTGGACACCCCTGCCAGTTATGGGAGCCTTGGAGACATGACAAGAACCAGGAACAAATGCAGTGATTTTCCTACAGAACTGTAATTTGGTAAAGAAGGGACAGGCTGCTAAGACATACAGTAACTTATTTACTCTGTAACTGGTCCGTTGTCGGGTTAGAGATGAAGCTTAAAAGCATATGGTAATGTGCACCTGGTCAGAGGTATTGCGCACCTTAGGGAATGGGGATAAGTGTGTATGGAGTCATATTAAGTTGTTTAAATTGCTGTGTCTGTACTGGACCCTTGGGACCAAATAATTTAAATACCTGGTGCAAAAAACGCCTGAAATGGGAACCTATTAAGTGGATTCCACAGTGTATCATAAACATAAATTTATGGTTTGCTCTCTCCAGGTGGCAGAGAAGGCCGTTTTAGATGGAACTTCGCCTCCTGTACAGACTATTATCTTTGAGAACACAAATTACAAATCAACACCCGACTTGGCCATAAAGGCAAAATTTAGCAGCCATGTGAAAAGTCAGAGGCTTGACAAAGCCAGAGGAGGTGAGTAATGACATTTGTTACTGGATGAAGTACATCATACATCCACCAGTTTGCTGTAGTTTGGAGTTAAAATTATTCTTTATGATGTGAGGTTAAACTGTAATTAGCTAAATCTTCCTGTAATTATGAAGAGTACTGCACGGCAGTCTTCTGGCAGAACCTGTGTGTGCACGTTTGTGAGGTTAAACTGTAATTAGCTAAATCTTCCTGTTATTATGAAGAGTACTGGATGGCAGTCATCTGGCAGCACCTGTGTGTGCATGGGAGCAGGGCAGGAAACTTGGTGGGACAAGCGTCATACCTGTGAAGGCATGGGTTTGTGTTCCTCGGAGTTCAAGAACAACAGAATTGTTCCACATCTATCTTCATTCTTCCAGTTTGTGTCTGAATCCAGATAATATAACTAGTTCTTGTGCAAATATGAATCAGATTAACCATTTTATGGAAAAAAAAATTTCAGAGGATTGTCCGTCACGTGCCTGTTCTCTGTTTCTTCAACATTCCTGTACACTGATACCTCTTCTTCTGTTGTTAATGGGAATTGTCACTAGATTTTTCATGTCTGGCTTGAAAGTCACATTCCTTTTCTTTTCTTTT